CTCTATTTGGACCAAAGTAAATCCATTTTTTAAACTTTGTCTGCAGGAGATATCTGATATAGAATGTGTTGTATGGCTGGTTAATTTGCTTTTGTAAATGTGCTAGATTAATTTTTTTTCTTTAAAAAACCTCTTTGTTTCAAAGCAAACCACTAATAGAGAAAATGGGTTGTTCATCCATAATGGTTTCCTTAAAGGAAATATTGAGTGAACTCTTCAGATGAACATTTCTTTTTCTTAACCTGGCCAGGAGTCTCCAGACAGCCAGTTCCAGTGTCAGCAATGGGTGGGGCAGATGCTGAGACCCATCCCTGCTGTGAAATAATTGTCATTTTTCCCCTCATACTGCAAGCGCCACGCCACAGTAAAGAATGGCAATGTTACTACTTTATGGTGATGGACGCTAAGCTAAGGGACAATTCTATTCACATACATTCCACCTCTCTTTGTTAATAGCAAATCAGTGGACATCAAGGAGAATGTCACAGATACAAAAGGTAACGGTCTTGCAAGCATTGTGTTGGACAGGGTAACAAGAAAGTATGGGTTACTGGTGTCTGATATTTGTGGCCAATGCTATTAATAGAGCTATAACAAGAAAGTATGGGTTACTGGTGTCTAATATTTGTGGCCAATGCTATTAATAGAGCTGAAGGAGTTCAAACTATCATTCTAACAAAAAACAATCAGGCTTTCTTTTTACTTTGCTCTCCCCACAACTGGAATCTTGCATTGCTGCATGCTGCAAACCATTCTGGAGAGGCAATGGCTTTTTTTTCCTATTGCAACAGAATGCTGGAAAGTGACCTTACAGCATTTTCCAAAATTGACCTTGAAAGCTCTGTTTCAGACATCTTGGAGTGCTACATGTTGTAGTTGATTCAGTCAAATAGGTTTGCTGCAGTTACCACCACTAGTTGATGTTTGGAAGTGTTTTCTGGGACACTCATTAATTATTTTGGGTACACATAGGAAAAAAAATACTTACACATCTTTGTACCCAATTAGAGCCCTCGAGACAGGAAACAGTTAAAGATAATCTTAAAAATCAGTTTTAAAAACAGCAGATATGTATAAAACCAACAATTAGAGATTTGGATTGTGATATTTGTTGGAGGACTAAATTAGTCATATCAAAATTGTAACCCCTAGTTTAGAACACTGAATTATGCATTTCTCAATAGTAAAAATAAGGGTTCTCCCCTCATTTATTAGCTATGGCTCCCTTAATCCTATGCTGAGTGATAAATTTAAGTTCCATTCTCCCTGTCCGATGGTTCCAAATTAAAATCTTAAGTATGTTGGGACTGTTCAGTTGCTTAAACTATTTGAATGGATGTGGATTTTCATTGATGAGAATGGAGAAACTTTTCTGCAGACCTTTAGACTGAGGTTCCTCCCCAACAATACTTGTATCGCTTTCACAGAAACATCGCCAATTTCATTGAAAGCTGCTCCAAATTAAATAATGAGATGCATATTCTCTCTGGTTTTATACAAACTAATAAAAGTAACTAAGAAAGCAAAATGCTGTAGAGTCTGTTTACCAGAGTAAGCAAATTGAAATGGAAAAGGGACTAGTTGAAGAAGAAAAGGTAGAGCCAGAGGAAAGGGACCAAATAAAAATGGTGTAGTTAGAGGAGTAAGGGGATGTACAAAAGGGAAAAGGGGGGCCAGTTATACTCTATTGCCCATGGCCCATATAAATCTGCAACAGGCCCTGCTGACAGCACCACTGCTCAATGCCTGCTTCTTTAATAAAGCTCTCTCTGAACCATCCTGACCTCGCTTTACCTGCACATTACTTTTCTGCTACCCTATTCCTATTGAGGATCTTTATTAATTACTTTTGCAAACATTCACAGTTGGGAAACTTGTGATCACAGACAGCAAACACACATGAGGCAATATATACTGGAAAAAGACCAAATTTCCTGTTATTGAAGTAAGTTCACTTAGTAGAAAGGAGTAGATAAAAGCCTAAAGCATGCTTTCCTCTAAAACAACCAGCTAGCTTGTCTAGCATTGGGTGAATGCAAGTCAAACCTGGTCAGATATGCTCAGACCCACCAGTATAGCCTCTCACAAGAGAGACCCCAGAGAGGCATCGTGTTTCTTGCACAATCATGAGAAGAAGGGGAGAATACAAAGGGACAAGACAAGAAAGCAGAGTCAGAGGAGCTCCAGCTTAGACAAGGGCTTCTTATGCACTGGTCTTTTCCCTCGCTTTCACCGTGCATCACTGTCAGGGTGGGGTTTTTTTTCCATTCTGCATTTCCCCTCACTGTCACCATGCATGTCCATCGGATCTTCTTTTTCATTCTGCACTGTCGCCACCCCCCTTTAGTGCCCAGTTCACTTCCCGCTCGCAGTTTTCCCAGGGTTGCTCAGAGTGGTTTTCTGCCGATCGTTCCCCTTGCTTCACTTCAAAGCCAAAGATAAAATTCAAAAGCAGACAGATTCCCTTGGAATTCCCCCCCCCTTTCTTTTCCAACCCCTTGGAGGTCACTCCTCACCCACACTGAGGTCATTCTACCACTCTGCACCTTCTGCTGGATGTGTTACATTTTAAATTTTCTTTTAAAAGCTGCATGAGTCTAATGTTATGCGTTTTAACACTAAACTCAGACGGCTGGGGGGGGAGGCAGGGAAGTGAGATGGGTGTGGTGGCAGCACATTCTCCCTCTTCCCTGGAGCCACTGCCTGTGTTTTCCTGGAGTAGGTCTCATGCATGTGCATTATGGATCTCCCCTCACCTGCCACACGCGGGGGAGCCTTGGAGGCCACTCCACCACTCACATCAAGGTTGCCACTACCAAAGCACAAACCAACCCGCTGGCCAACCGCTGACCTCACATCCCTCTATGAGTCGCCCATGCCTGGAAAAGCCCAGTGGCAGTGAGCCAAAGGGGGTGGGGGAGCGGGGAGGAGAGGAGAGCAAGGGGAAGTTGTAGTGTGCCCCCTCCTTTGCACGGGCTCGGCCAAGTCAGTGGCAGTTTCCCTGTGTCAGCTGCTCCTCCTCAGCTTCCCTTGTCCTCCCTTCCCTCATCTGCCTGCCCTCCAATCTGAGCCAGGCGTGCCCAGGCAGCCACTATCCTGCCCCCTTTATCGGAATACAATTTCAGTACTGACTGCAAACAGAAGGGAGGGATCACCAGCACAGATGACAAGCTCTGTAAAGAGGGAGGGAGGGAAAGACTGGCATTGGGTCAATTCTTTCACATTTTTCACATTGCCCGGTAACAAAATGGACAATACACTACAGCTTGGCAATAAGAAAAGGGAACTTTGCAGCTGCTCTAGTCAGTTTCATTCATGGAACTGAACAAGGAGGATTTAAATGGAAGGCGCTCACTGGATGCTTCTGTGCAACAGCAGTAGGGCAACTGCATGAATTAAAAAAACCTTTGCATGCCACCACCACCCACATCACAAGTGATTTCCAACCCCAATTAAACAAAAACTGCAGGTTTAGTTTGTAGCTGGAGAATATATACACAAAATACAGAATAAATACACCAAAAAAAAATCATGTATATGGCAGGAACACAAATCTGAAGTCAGGCTTAAAGGCTTCACTGCTTAGCTTATCTGCAGTAAATTGCAGTAAACTGTGCATGCAGAAAGGACCAAGGCAGAGGCCCGTCCTAAGATTGGACAGCTCTTCTCTTTTGCATACTTGGGGAGGAGGCTTAAATTTGGTGCAACCACCAGTAAACTCATAAACACCTGCACTGCAATCTCAAACAAAGTTGAGACTTGCTAAACCCATTAACTTTGGTGTTACACAGTAAATCAGACAGGATGGAGAGATGAGCAGGAGGGATTTGATCGGGTCACTTTTGGAAACTAGGAATTATTTAGCTAGATTTGAGTCCAGTAACACCTTGGAAACCAACAAGATTTTGAAAGTATAAGCTTTCAAGAGTCAAAGCTCTCTTCATCAGATACGAATCAAGATGGCTGTATCAATTTTGTATCTGACAAAGGGAGCTTTGGTTCTCAAAAGCTTCTACCCAAAAAATCTTGTTGGCCTCCAAGGGGCTCAAATCTACTACAGTCCAACAAAGCTGCCCTCTGAAATGATGAATGATTTAGGAGCTGACAGCTTTTATCTATAAGTGCCTAACCTCTGTTTCTGTACAAATCATCTCCACTTTGACTCCTCTTAGTCCCATAGGAACCTACCATTTATGAGTTAAAAAGTAAGGAGTCCCTTTTTAAACAAAACTTTACTTATTCAAAAGAGTTATCCTCCCACAAGTATCATTATTAAGTGCAAATTAATAAATTATCATTTGCTTCCCATTTATGCCAATGATGCTCAGAGCGACTGTCCCAATGCCTGATCAAAACTGAGGGAACTTCATTTATCACCTATTAAAATTGGGTTGGATCCAGCCAGCTTTTTCACTCACTTTCACCCAAATCCCGTCCTTATTCCAGCCCCTATCTTACATGGCTTTTCTCCATGCATGTCCCACAATCTCCAGTGTAGTCTTTTGAGATGGTCAGTTGGGACTGCACCTTCCTATTTTACCAACAAAAAGGTTGGTTTGGATCCAACCTTCTGCCTCAAGTGCCTTGTGTTCTTTCTTAGGGAATGACCATATTGCCCTGAAGCTTTTGAAAGAATACATGATTATGGCTGTGATAACATTTGGGGTAGGGGGATGATAGTTTTTCTGAGAGCATCTGTCTCAGCATCTCCCTTTAAAGAAGCTTTCTAAACTCCTCTGAAATTAAAACACAATTTATGGGCTTTAAGAAGTGGTGCCAGAAGGAAAACAGAAGAGAGGAGTGTGGGTGAAATTATTTCTTTTTAAGCAAACCTTAAATCAACATTAAAAATAATGATTTTAAAGAAACAGGGAGCAATTTTTGAGCTCTCAAGGAAATCTATATAAGAAACCTACTAAGAAGGTAACAAGCAGAAAAATACCAAGGTACATGCACATATTTGGATACAGAGTACTGCAAAAGACTTATGCACAAGTTTCTTATCCATTTCTCTTCATTAACTGTCTCTTGTTGTTCAGTCCAGACCTAAAAAGAATCATGTAGCATTTAGGGGAAAAAATGCAAACCAGCAGTCCAGCACTGGAGGCTAAGATAGAGAAGATCTCCACAGCTGCCATGTATTTTCCCTTAGTGCTCAAGTAGGTTGGAACAAAGGATGCCCAAACACTGCAAAACACCAACATGCTGAAAGTAATGAACTTGGCTTCATTGAAAATATCAGGTAACTTCGTGGCAAAGAAAGCCAGGATGGAGCTCACAATGGCCAGAATACCCATGTAGCCCAGGACCACATAGAACATAATCACAGACCCCTCATTACATTCCAACAAAATTTCTTCAGCTGCTGAGTGCATATCAACATCTGGGAATGGGGGAGAGGTTACTAACCAGATAGTACAAATGCCTACTTGGATAAAAGAGCAGGAAAAAACAATAGAGTTGGCCAGTCTTTTCCCCACCCATTTCCTCATGCTGGATCCGGGCTTGGTGACCATGAAAGCCAGAACTACAGTGATGGTTTTTGCCAACACACAAGAAATAGCCATTGAAAATATGATGCCAAAAGCAGTTTGTTGAAGGAGACAGGTCACCTTCTCAGGCGGGCCGATGAATAGGAAAGCACACAGGAAGCAGAGGATGAGAGATACTAGAAGAGTGTAGGTGAGGCTCCGGTTGTTGGCTTTCACAATGGGAGTGTTGTGGTACTTGATAAATGTTCCTAGTACCAAACCTGTTACCAAAACAAATGAAAGAGCAAAAAAGGCTAAACTGGTCCCCAAGAGTTCTTCATAAGACAAAAAGCTTGTTTCCTTGGGAATACATAAATCTCGGTTTTTATTTGGATAATTTTCATCTGTGCATTTGTAACAGTCATTCATGTCTGAAAAAAACCAATTGGCCTTTAACATACAAGCATCTCACCCTGCATCTCACCATAGATGTTACAAGTCTTCATTCAAAGAGACAAAAAAATCTATATTTAGTGCTGTTCCTGTGAAATGTGTTGTGGTTATCTGAGTGTGGTGGTGAAGATGACCAGTCATTACATACATAGACATGTTTAAGGACTTCAAGTGGAACAGAATTTAAAAAGCCTAAACCCACACCTTTTGTTGTGCCCACAGTGCTGAGGAGACTTAGTTGTGACTAGGGGTGTGCATTCAGATCTATGTGAGCCAAAAATATACCCCCAAAATACCTTATTGGTATTTTTCAGGTATATTTCGGCATCCCAAACATATTTGGGTTACATGCCTGAACCCTGAAACTGTATTTTGATGCCTGGAAACTGCATCTGTATGCCTGCCAGGAGGACACCAGCCAGCAGGACAGTAAGCTTCCTGGGTGATTTGGGGCCAATCACTTCCTCTCAGCCTAACTTACCTCACAGGGTTGCTGTTGTGAGGATAAAGTGAACAAGAGGAGAACCGTGTTGTAAGCCCCTTTGGGGAGAAAAATGTGGTCTAAAGATATCCTCCGGTATATATAATTCTGTTTTGGTCATGGACTCCCCTGAACATTCCAACACGCTCCAAAATCAGTTCGCTCTCTGATCTGTCATTCAGAGGGTCTCCCTATCCACTGGCTGCTTTGCCTGAGTCCTGCCTCCAACATTCTAAACAGTTTGCTTTTCCTCTCCCCCCCACAGCCAGTCAGAACACAGAGGTCATTTGCATATGAGGCCTGATTCACCTTTTTCTCGGAACACAGAGGTCGTTTGCATATGCGGCCTCACTGGCCTATCCCTCTAACATTCTAAACAGTTTGCTGTTGATGTTCTGAGGTAAAATAAATTTCCCCTTAGTGTCTGTTGGGGGAAACCATGGTTGCAAATCTCCAGGTGAGGGCTGAAGATCACTCAGAATTACAACTGCTTTCCAGATGGCAGAGATCAGTTCTCCTGGAGAAAATAGTGGACTCTGTGTCCTTATATCCTGCTGAGATGGCCCCTGTATGACAGCCAATGTGACGTAGCAGTCAGGGCTTCAGCTATTAAAACTAATGTCCAGATGACCCAGATCAGTTCTCTTGGCGACAATGGCTGCTTTGGGCAGTAGAGTCTATGGCATTATACCCTACTGAGGCCCCTCCCCACCCCAAACCCTGCCCTCCCCAGGCTCTACCCCTCAAATCTACAGGTATTTCCCAACCCAGAGTTGGCAACCGTGTAATCGGCTATGGTACCACTTTCCAAACCCTTGGAACCCAGAAAACATGGCACTGGAGGAGGTGCTTTTCTACCTTAGCTGTGACTGCATAGCCCCAAATTAACATAAGCCAACCTCCAGGTGGCACCTGGAGATCTCCAGCTATTAAAACTGATGTCCAGATGACCCAGATCAGTTCTCCTGGAGACAATGGTTGCTTTGGGCAGTGGATTCTATGGCATTATACCCTATTGAGGTCCCTCCCCACCCCAAATCCTGCCCTCCCCAGGCTCTACCCCTCAAATCTATAGGTATTTCCCAACCCAGAGTTGGCAACCATGTAATTGGCTATGGAACTACTTTCCAGACCCTTGGAAACCAGAAAACATGGCACAGGAGGAGGTGCTTTTCTACCTTAGCTGCAACTGCATAACACCCCCCCTCCCCCTCAAAAAACAAGTCAGAGGTGGAGAGAACCATATCTGTTACCATGAGGCTGTCCTCCCATTCTACCCAGTTGGAGCAGCAAAATGACTTGAGACAGCCCTGCCTTATAGCTAAGTAGAAGGAAAGAAACATGGCTTGCCTCCCTCCATTTTCCACTTCCCTCTGGCGCCCCACCAGCCACAGTCGGGGCACTCATCTGGAGCTTCCTACTAGATCCCATTTGTATTTCTTCCTACAACGGGCATCACTCCTAGTGAATAAATAAAACTGTGTTTCAATGTCTCCTTTGATCAGCTGTTATTACAGAGGAATCCACCACATTGATATTTCTGAATGTTCTTCAAGGACAGGTCTAAGTGTGCCACCTTTTGTAGTCCATGCTGAGATAGCTTCTAAATTTAATAATCCTCAATTTGAGTCAGAAGAATCTGGCTTTTTAAAATTGGACCACTTTGTATAGTTTTACCAGGGGCAAATACTCGTACGTAAACATATACAAGATACTTTCCTCTTCTGCAAGTTCATCACAGGACAGCAACCAAAATATTCAACCACATTTCAAAGAGGAAAAAAATATAACAGAAGTGAATAGTCTTACATGGGCATATAGCCTATCTGTCTGATAACTCTTTACAATATAGGACTTACCGTTCTCATCAGAAATCTTCCCTTCTGGGCATGGGATGCAGTTGTAGCAACAAAACGGCTCCCCTTCCTTCATTTTCTTACTATAACCAGGCTGGCAACTTTCAGTACATATAGAAAGAGGCTGTGTCTAATGCATAGAAGAAGGGTGAGAGAAATACCCTTGAGAAGAGTGATCTTTGAATTGTTACAGTTCTGGTATAGTTTCATGTGTTACCAATGTAATACAGTACCGGCTGGGTTTTTTCAGTCAATCTTGCCAAATTCCCCTTCTTACTAAGGTCTTCCTTATCCAACAAGGCTTTTGTACGTGCAGGTCCCCTGATCTCCAGCACAGCCCATTTCTGACTTTTTCACCTGCGGAAAAGCTGGTTTGATCTAATCTACTATACACGACTCTAGTGTATGCTGCTGTACTAACAAGACTTATATCTACATTGAGGGTCACCTTAACTTTTTACATGTATCAATGTTATCAGCTTCTTTTGCCCATATGAGAAATCACAGCCCCTCATCTGCTGTTTGTTCCTTTCTGTCAATGAAAAAAAGAAGCAGCAGAATTTACAATCCCAGACCTCTGTATACTATCATTTCACTTTGGTATTGCCTTTTTGTAATTATGTGGGATCCCATCAGGTGTCTGATTCATCTAGGTATTACAAGAAGGTCAAGCAATGGACATCCATTTCAGGCAACATCTAGTTTGGAATTTGGGTAAAGGTTCAAGAATGTAAATGGTGATTTTGTATTTTTAAAGTAATAATATAAATAGAGGTATTTCTTTTCCCTTCCTACATATTGTAGAGGATGATAGATGATAGATGAGAGAGAGACAGAGGGGGAGAGAGGGAGAGAGACAGAGGGAGAGGGAGAGAGATTTAGCAGTGCAGAAAGAACAGTCTAGGTAGGCAGAGCCTCATTTCTTACAATGGTTGATAACATTTTATTTTCAACAGCTTTGGTATTTATTTCCAGGGATTCAACACTGTCATTTTGCACATCAGGAGTGGGACTTGAGCCTCATTCACATTCAAAATTGTTTACAATTGCATCCTACCTGGTTAAACCAGGTGTTCCATGTTATGGCCACTTCATTAATGGTGAACGCTTGGTCCGGAGGAGTGCATGGATCCATTCTGCCAACTTTCACTTTCTGAAAGGACTGGTTGGAGGAAACAATCCAGTTGATAATATCAAATCCAACTACTAACACCCCATTGTGGTCAAAGGAAACCTTGTCCCCCACACTGTTGTTAAATGACAGACCTCTTAGAAAGCGATGGAGCTACAGGGTAAAAGAAAAAGCAAGAGGGGGCATAACTCAATGGTAGAACATCTACTTGACATGCAGAAGGCCCTGGATTCAATCCCCAGCATTTCCAATTAAAAGGTTTAGGCAAGAGGTGATGTGAAAGACTTCAGCCTGAGATCCTGGAGAGCCACTGCCAGTCAGACCTTGATGGATGAATCATCTGATTCAATCTAATGCAGCTTCTTCTGTTCAAGAGTTTACAGTAGCTGCAACTGAACAGCAATACGTTGGATCTTTCAAACGAATGTCCTCAAACATTGCCTTTAATTGATGACATCTTCATTTTATTCTGTGCATAATTGTGTTTTAAATATTGCAGGTAAACACATACCTTTTCCCCAATTTAATTTCATTTTCAATTTCTTTGGAGGTATTAAATAAGAATTTCCATTTATTTTGGCAACCCCTTTAAGTACCTGTTTAAATTACACACATACACACACCATCCAGGAATTCAGTATGTTTTGTTGGCAATCAGTATAAATTCATATTTTAAGATAAGTGATTTTGTTCCTGTTTCTCATACTGACTCTTTCTCATACATAAATACATAACTCTGGATACAGATTTCTATGTATTTTCTGCCAAACAGACCGAGAGTATTGTTAAAAGATATGTGTTACATAAACCTTTCTGAAGGTTCTAGGTCAGGTCTGGGAGAGAATTTTCAGTACCAAACCATTCCCTGACATCAGGTCACAAACAGCCTCCTCAATGAGGAAGGGAAGTCAACTGTAGAGTGTCAGCTATATGGTAGAACCTGTGAAACTTATCATCCACTTGGATGCTTTGCATTTTAGACAGAGAACTCCTTGACCTTAGTAAATGTAATGCACCTTCCTTGCCTGTCCCTACACTCAACCTTTACCTTCTGTACTCTGGGGACCAGTGTGGTGTAGTGGTTAGAGTGTCAGACCGGAATTTGGGAAACAAGGTTCAGATCCCCACTCTACCACATAAACCTGTTGGGCAACCTTGGGGCTGTCACACACTCTCAGCCTAACCTACCTCATAAGGTTGTTGTGAGGATAAAATGGTGGAGAGGAGAATGATATAGTCCCTACGCTCAGCCTTTACCTTCTGGACTCTGGGAACCAGTGTGGTGTAGTAGTAGTTATATAGTTAGAGTGTCAGACTGGAATTTGGGAAACCCCCATTGAGGAGAAACATGGACTATAAATGAAGCAAATATTGGGAATTCATATGGAAATTTTCCTTAGAAGGTGAAGCAATTGCCTTTCAGCTTGTGCTAACATAAAACGAACTTGTTGGGCAATCTTGGGCCTGTCACACACTCTCAGCCTAACCTACCTCATAAGGTTGTTGTGAGGATAAAATGGTGGAGAGGAGAATGATATAAGCCCCTTTAGGTTCCAATTGAGGAGAAACATGGATTATAAATGAAGCAAATATTGGGAATTCAGATGGAAATTTTCCTTAGAAGGTGAAGCGATTGCCTTTCAGCTTGTGCTAACATAAAACATGAAAATGTGTCATTTTTAGATGCTGGGGAGAAGAAGGCAGATGAAATTGTGAGCACAGGAAGAAACGGGGAGACTGTTTACTTTGCATACCAGGACCTGTTGATACATATAGGTATGATGCTCCCTCATATGAAGATATTTATGCTATTACCTGCCATGACTCTTGACGCTGATGCTTCAGTCCCCCTCTGTCCACAGTTACTCTGTGATCAAGTCCATGTGAAATCATGGCATGTACAGCATGGGCCACAGCATGGACAGAGTTGTAAATGCTGTAGCTGTGGCCAGTCATGCTCATTTCTAAAAAACAGCTAGGAAGCATCTCCAGCTTCTCGTCCCCAGAGCAAATCTTCTCCTCCACCTTACCCAAAGATGGGTTTGGCAGCACACAGCTGAAGACCTGTTGCCAGAAGTCCCTGAGAAAACCATCTCCTGTTTTGCTGGAAGGATTTGTGCTCACCACAAACTCTTGAAATCCGGGTAGATTATGGGACTGAATTGTAAAGGAAAGAGAACCATGAATGATTTGTTTGTCCCAAGTCCTTTGATAGCCCATTGCAGTAAATTCCATCTGGGATGTCATAATCCATACTTTACCTTTTGGTGTTTTTGACAGCTGAGGCAACCATATCAAAAAAACCATGGAATAAGAGTTTCCACAGCATACCAAGACATTGGCTTTGCTACCTATGATTTTGCCATGTATTCTCAATCCCTGTTGTATCATGTCTTCAAAATCACTGAGAAAAGTAAATGTTGGGCTCCTTTCTATGAAGGAAAAACAGATACCACGCTTGGAAAATGGTGGAAGCATGGTTTGCAAAATCTTCTCTGCGTTGTCATCATCCATAGTGAGAACCCCAATCCATGTCCATCTGAAATGCAACAATAAAGAGAGAATTCCCTCATACTGAAGACCTTCACTAGGGGCCATCTGGTAGAAGAGCAGACCTGGGGACTTTAAGTTCATCACTGGAGCAGAGCCATAGATGAGCTGAATGGGTAAAGAGGGAGAGACAATAACCTTACACATAATATATTAAGATTCCTTATAACAATCCAGTAGGGTATATCATTGATACTAGTCTGTGCTACTGTTAGGGAGCTGTTGGTGAGACTATATTTCCTTGCACAAGAATTAGAACTCTGCCAGCTGCATTTCCCCTGCAGGTACTCATGATCCTCCATATGGTGCCTGTGGTGTGTTTCCTGGTATTCACTTTCCCAAAGTGAAGAGCCAGTCCTGGCTTTCCTATACTTCACGGCAGTAGAAGGTTCTTCAGTAGGGACCAGGAGGCATTGCCTTTGTGTCTGCAGGCAGCATTTGGAAACAGCTGCCTCCATTATAGAAGGATGCTTGGCTTCCAACTTCCCAACATTTTAAAGACTCTCCCAATGTTTTCTGATAGGACCCAGCCCTTGTGGTGGCCATTTTTAAATAGTATTCACTACTCTAGTATTCACCACAAATGTGTCCACAAGTTCAACTAGATTAGGGAACCATTGTTGAAGACACACATTTAGAACACAATTGTGTCTACAAATCTCAGGTACATTTTTACAACATATAAATTCAAAACCAATGAAAATATATCAGTATAGAGGGGTGGATAACTGCACCCATAGTCCCTGAATGCAAAATCTATTTGTTCTTGCCCCAAAGGTCCCTTCTATTGTGGTATGTCAGCTGAGAAACGTCTTCTGCAGCCATTGACTAGGTGGCAACTTTGTTAAGTGCTTATCTCAGAGTTGTTGTTTTTAAAAAAATTGATTCTTTTCCTGCCCCCCTCTCCATCTGATTACTTCAGATGGACCTATTGCTATCTTCAGTCCCCAGAATCATACCAGGCAGCACAAAAGAGCCATATATCCTACTTGAGGGATTTTGTAGATATCCAGGAGAGTAGCCATATGAAGGGAGGTTTGAAAGTCCAGTCCCCCGATAACTGCTATTGGGTTGTTCTGAGTGTCACATTCGTAATTGGGCACAAACTTCTTTCCTGTAGATACAAGTTTAATTGTGGATTGATAGGTCCACTTTGCATTGAAATAGCTGTCATAGATGAAGAAGCCCAAGGTGATATTGGGTAAGATGTGAGGGGTTTTATTGACCTCCTTGATTGCAAAAGCCAAGGCCAGGATGTGTTGGTAATTCTTAATCACTACCCTAGAAATGAAAATTACAATCTGTATCAGATGGATTGCTCACATTTGTTATTGTCAGTGTTCTGCAACTTCTTCATTCACATACACAACTGTATTTATACACAATCTTTCCTTTGACAATCCTTAAGCTGGGAATTTATGCACAAAGGCATAATGATCAAATAGTGTCATTATTCTGCTTAAGAACATTTTCTTGGAACATTAACAAAAATGAACTATATGAATCAAAATAATTAGAACTTTTATGAACACACACACACACACACACACTGTAATACTGATCTTATTCTACTTTATAGCCGTTTAGCATTAAATATCTTAACAACACAGTTGGGTTTCAGTTTCTTTTATAACCCACCTTTATTGTACAGAATAAAGAGTAACAGGCCATTTTCAACATTAAGAGTCAGGAAGATATCAATAAGGTGTTGGTGATATCCATGTGATGAACGATTACTATACGTATCTCAGATAAAATAAATGCTGAGGGAGTTGAAACAAAAAATTAGGAACCTTGGAAGGAATATTAAATAGCATTATTAAGAGGAGTTTTAATTATGTGTGGGGTAAATGGCTTTTTAAAAGTATGGCATGTCACTGGAATTAAGGATGTAGATTATTTTGGTAGAAATTGGCTTCTCCTCCCTCTTGAACCAGCAGAAAAGTGCCAGCAGAGAAAAAAAATGTCCATTGTTTCTAAACAAGATACATGAACTCTTGGTCAGTATTACCTACTTGTCTGGCAGTGGGTCTCAAGAGCCTTAAGTCTTTTGAATCACTTCCTATTTGATCTTGTTTAGCTGGAGATACTGGGGATTGAACCGGGGATCTTCTGTGTGCAAAACAGATACTGTCACTAAGCCACAGCCACTCCCTCCAGGATGTCCCCTTTGTATTCTGACATGGTGCATTTACAGTGAAACAACTTGCGATAACAAAATGGAAGTGCAAAGAAAAATGTATAATATGAGATAATAAGACCAGGAATTTGAGTGAGTAGAGGAAAATAGACCTGTTCACACATTTCCTCCCTCTTCCACTCTTGGACAAAAGGGAGTTTCTTTGAGCATTCTTTCAATTGTATTCTTTCAATTGTATTCATGTGTTAACAGTCCAATTGTTGTCAACATGTTAACATTTTAACATTCTAATCTAATGGAGAGAGTCTGTGGATAACTGGTAGAGTATCTGCTTGTGTGCATAAATTCCCAGGTTCAATCATTGGCATCACCAGTTGAAAGGACTAGGTAGCAGGTGATGTGAAAAAAAACTCTCCCTGAGACCTTGGAGAGCTACTGTCAGTCTGAGTAGACAATGCTGACCTTGATGAACCAACGGTCTGGGTTCAGTACTCTGCATCTTCATGTGTGTTCCTGTATTCAATCAGATAAGTTACTGTTCAGAGGCTATACCTCATATGCCCAATTACTCCATTGGCCAGCAAAACAAATGGATATACAAAGGTTATTTTTAAAAATCCTTACGCAAGTTCTTCAGCAAACGCCTGTTGTGGATCTTCAGTGAAGGCTATTGAAGTGTAGGCAAGGAACGTCTGAGAAGCGATGGCCCCAATAATGAGGTCTCCTGGCTGATGAAACTTATGATATTCATAAAGTGGAAGGTGTAGCTCATTCACCCCGTACTTATTAATGTCATCTTTGCATAATGTATGAGGAACTAGTAGCAACAGCAGTCTCACGAATATTACCATCCTGAGTGCAAATCTTCATTCTAAGCATAGATTTCTCAATTTCCATCTACTATAATATCATCAAGTATTTCTGACCCTAATATGAATACACATGTATGCTGCTAACACACAAACAGTTTAGGATCTAAATGGCAAAGGATCCAGTCTGTAGATCTTTGTCTGTTCCTAGTTGCTAGCATCAGGTCTGATAGTGATAGTTTATATTCATAACCTTTCTTCAGACCATGCTATTGATTTCATTACAAGTACCAATTGAACTTACGCAGAAGGTTTGACAAGAAGGAGAATTAATTATAGTCCCTTTCTTAATGAAAGGGGAAGGAAATCAACCATTCAGATTGGGGTGTTCCCCATGGACTTCCTGTTTATCACACCCGAATAGATTTTTTTTCTTCTTCTACAGCTGGGTCCCAAGGGACACCTAGGTTTGGAATGGTCTACAACAAGAAAACTCCACCAGACAGAAGTATCTTGGTCTAATAAGAGAGGAACTTCATGTGCTAATTTAAGGCTATTAGGTCACCTGCTATGGTGGGAGACCTCCCACGGTCAGCTCGGGTTGGGCAGCACTGCTAACTTAGAGTGGCATGGAGAAAATGGGGGCAATACATGACATTTCAATGTTGTGATGCCAGAAGTGACATCATCGAATTGGCATCATGCAGTAGGATGTTCCATGGATTTTGGGTGGGGGGGGTCCCAGAGTATCACATTGACATAATGATATCACATCCAGGGTTGCATAAGAAGTGACATTGCAGCATCAGAACACTACATATTTACATGTCCCTTCCCCTCATCCGTCTCCTGCTAGATGACAGCATTCCACGGGAACCCTATGTTAATTCTAGAATTGGATGCTTTTAGAATATGATGTCGAAACATAGGAATCCAAATGATAGCCCTGTCAAGGCTGCAATGGAAGTCTGGAATGAAAAGCTCCTGGAAGCTATTAACATGGTGGCCCCCATTTCAACCTCTGTGACCCTCAAGACAAAATGCAGTAACTTAAAGAGGGTAAGAAGATATCTCAAATGCTGCTGGCAGGAAACACATGCTGACTCTGACCGGCTGTGCCATAGAGTTCATTGGAAGTCCTATGAGGCAAAGAAATCCTACTTTGCTGCTACTATTGAGATGTTTCATTTGCACCCAGATCAGCTGTTTAAAGTAGTTCACCACCTGTTGACTCCAAAGACTGAGCCTTTAAACTCCCAGGAACTAACTATTAACTGTGATGCTTTTGTAAAATTCTTTTTTGAGAAATGATCTCAAACATGCTCTGATTTGGCTACTGGTTATAATACACTGAGATACTAGAACTCTCCAACACAAATTCATTCAGAGCTGTTCTCTCAAGGGCAGTTCTCTAGAGAGCTCTCTCAGCCCCACCTACCTCACAGGGTGTCTGTTGTGGGGAGCAGAAGGGAAAGGGATTGTAAGATGCTCTGAGACTCCTTTGGGTAGTGAAGGGTGGGGCATAAATCTGATCTCTCCTCCTCCTCCTCCCCAACAGCCCCCTTGGATTGGGGACCCTTGAGGAGCGCTTGGCTGCTAGAGAGCTGTAAATGGGAAGGGAGCCAAGCACCCCTGTTCCCCTTTCCTGGGCCTGCTGGTGCACTCCCTAGAGTGTTTGCTGGCTCACTCAAGAGGGCAAGGGCAGGAAGCCTGTTTCTTGGGTCTGCAGCTCTGAAAGGGTTAAAGCAGCTGAGCTGTTTGATAGAGAGACTGAGCAAACGGGAGGGGGAGAAGGTTTTGCTTCTAAGTGGGAAAGGAGAGCAGGGGGAGGGCTTTGGGGGGTGCAACAGTAGTGAAAAGTCTGGCAGCTGGATCCTAGGAAGGTTTACTATTGAGTAAGTCATTTCAGTCGTCGTTCCATTGGGGAAAAGTGCATGGTCCTGTTGCCAGAGGCACTGCCTTTAATCTCAGGTAGCCCCAATAGCAAGGGCACCCCACTTTCTAACCTGACCAGAGACCCACAAAACTCAGGCCAAGGAAGGCACTCCTGGTTCTGAAACAGAGCTAGCCACAGCTCTGAAAAAGGGGTCTCCATTTTCAGGTGACAGGCAACCTCAGAGCAAGTATCCAGTCTTCCCCCCTCCACCCAGCAGAGATTATGCTTATGGAATAACAGTGAGTTCCAGCAGGTGAAGTATCTACATTTTCTATTCAGAGGCCACCTGGCAAATAGTCCTCTTCTCTCCAGTACCTCACCCAGCCCTTTTGTGTCGTCCTATGTCTATGTGTGAAGTCTTTGTCCTTCCTTGCTCCATCCCTCAGGATACCAATCAAGCATTCAAATTATTAACGATCCTTCCTGATGCTAATCAGGGACTCAGCCCACCTTTTGTCTATACTTGGAAGCCTTTTCAAAATACCCTGGCAGGATCATTAGTGGTCAGATAATACATTCAACTAGCCACCCAGCATCTGGCTTCTATTGTTAAATCCAGACCCTGCCTCTCTGGAAGCTCATTGGTCACATCTAGGTGGCAGGCCACCCCTGGAACCCTCTGGGTTTGGGGTCACGACCCTTCTTTATGGACCTCTGCACATCTGGACAGGTAGTATCAGCCTACATCCCCTCCATTAGCCATCAATCACCTCTGCTTCCTTAGGTCTGTATTGTGTCTGTGAATGTTTAATTATTGTTTGTGCGCTTGAAAATATTTAGTAAAGAAATCCTTACTTTAGCCACCCAGTCTCTTTGTCTATTCCTGGGTTCTTAGGAATTCTAACTCTGGTATACACAGGTCTGATCCTATAGTTATGCCAATTGCATATTAATATCATAATTCTCCTATCTTTTATTAACTAATAGAGTAATTTGGCTAACAGTCTCTTCATTATGTGAAAACAGCCCCCAAGGAAGCTGCGGGGAACCACACATTCATAATTAGATTATCACTAAATTGACTACTAATCTAATTAGTGGTAATCTAATTAGGCTTCCTAGCTACAGGGCTGTGCTGTTGATACCCAGCTCTATTTCTTTATCCAGATGACCTGGTGATACAGAAGAGATTATGAAACAATGTCTGACTGCTGTAGTTAAATGGCTAAGGATAAATAAGCTGAAACTGAACCCTGACAAGATGGTGCTAATGTTGGTTGGGGAGGCTGAGGTCCTCAATGACATGGTACTCCCCACTTCTGATGGGGTCCAGCTGATTCTTGTTGACTGACTGAACCCCCCCCCCCCCGGATTCTGCTGCCTTGACCATCTAGATCCATGCTATGGTAATTTTGAGGTTAACCTATTGTAATGAATCTGTCCTTAAAGACAACTCAGAAACTCCAGCTGGTACAAAACACAAACTTGCAGTCCTCTGTTCCTCAATCCTGTACATGTCCTAGCTGGTCAAGGCAGGCTCTTTGAACTTAAAGGTTACAGTAGTCTAAAAGCTTCCCATTATCTTGGAGTCTTTGTCTCAACTGCCAGCCCTTTGTTAGCACCACACTGTTGGGATATGCAAGGTCTATAGTGCAACCTTATGAAGAAGATCTGACTCTGGCAGGTTGTGCCATAGAGTTCATTGTTTTGGAATATGCAAGGTCTATAGTGCAGTCGTATGAAGAAGATCTGAAGATCATCCTACAGGGGGGACAGCTGAAGGACTGGTAGTTAGCATAGCAAGGCTAGGGACTTCCCACTTTTTCAAATTGTGTCGGGGGGAGGACCAGCGCAGAGGGAATGTGTGTGACTGCAAAGTCAACCCTTAAGGCTTGACTCCTTGGGATTCTCTGGAGCGAGCTGTCAGTGCAGAAAGGGCCTTAGTCTTTCCTGTCCATCAAAGCCCCTCTGCCACTTTGAATGGGACTAGCATCCGGTTTCCCCCCCTCCTAATTCCACTCAACTTTGTATTTATCTTACTTGTTAAAATAGATAGCTATCCTGGCCAACAGAGGGAGCTGCAACATAGACAGTATACCATTTGTATTAAGAACCGGAAATGCAGCTTCAACACAGAGCTCAGAGAACTAAAGGAGGAATTATAGTTCTTTACTGTATGGTTGCTTGCAGCAAAGCCTGCCCCATCCCTAAGGATTCTGAGATAAAACTAATCAAACATTAGTTTCATCAGTGATATTTCCTGACGCCAATCAAGGACCCATTTTCCACTTTTTGTCCATGCCTGGGAACCTATTCAACCTGCCTCGGCAGGACCATCAGAGGTCATCAAACCTATTCAGCCAGCTCCAGTGGAGCCATCAACGGGCATTAATCTCATCCACACTATTGCGCAGTGAAAGCCGGCCTCTGTTTTCTTTGCATGATCTATTAAAACACATTGTTAGAAGTCAAAGTACTTGGCAGAAAACACAGAAATGAACACCCTCAAGAAGCACTGCTTTCGAAGAAGCACAAAACACTCAGAAGAACAACAAATATTTTAGTCATGGCAGACAGCCTTATTATACTTCCTGGACCTATGAATTTGAAAGGGAATGTTCTCAATAACAATGGTTTTCAAGAAACCCCTCTATGGGTTGGATCCAAACAGACATTATACTCAGAGTCAGCCAGTTATCAGTCCTACTATTGTAGCCCAGAGGCGCTGCCTTACTCTCAGGAAGCCCCAACAATGGGGCACCCACTTTTGACCTGAACCGGTGGCCACCTGGCAAATGGCCCTTCTGTCTCCAAACCTGCACATAGTCCCTTTTGTGTGACTCCTATACCTATGTGAAAGCTCTTTTGTCTAAAACAACTGTCCTTCCTGCCCCATCCCTAAGGATTCTGATATAAAAGTAATCAAACATTAGTTTCATCAGTGATATTTCCTGACGCCAATCAAGGACCCATTTTCCACTTTTTGTCCATGCCTGGGAACCTATTCAACCTGCCTCGGCAGGACCATCAGTGGTCATCAAACCTATTCAGCCAGCTCCAGTAAAGCCATCAATGGGCATTAATCTCATCCACACTATTGCGCATCCAGACTCTGTGTCTCTGGGACTTCATTGGTCGCACCTAGGTTTTACTCCTCCTGGTGTCACATCCCCTTGGATCCCTTATTGGTCCAGGAAATCCTTTGTCTTCTCCTGAGACAAGACCCTCAAGGCCTCCCATTAGTCCACAGTGTTTCCCCATTTCTATATCCACCAAGGCACATGGCCTCAACTGTGTGTCTGCCTGGAAGCCAACTGGCAGTTCTCCCCAAAATTTTGTTTGGACCATAATCTCTTCTCCATGGACTTCTGCACACCTGGACAGGTAGTGTAACACCCATATCTGACCCTAACCCTTGCTATAATCTCCTCTGTTTTATTAGTTATGAATTGTGTGCTCTTTGTTGAATGCTTAGTGTGACTGCAATCAGGGAAATTCTTTAATAAAACTATTTGATTCACTCCTCAAATCTGGACTGGACCTTGGTATACACAGATGTGCAGTCCCTGTAATCCCTCTGGCCTCCCACTTTACAATTTTATTTTTATACATCTCTCCATATCCTTTGCTCACAATGAGTCTGTCTCTACCTCGTCTTCTTTTCCTCCAGATACTCCTTCTATAGGCACTGCCAACTCTGGGTTGGAAAATTCCTGGACATTTGGGGGTGCAGCCAAGACACAACAGGATTTGGGGAGGGAAGGAAGCTCAGCAGGGTAGGGAAGGAAGCTCAGCAAGTGTGCCTTCCACGCTTGCCATTTTCTCCAGAGGAACTGACCTCTGGAGATCAGCTATAATTTCAGGAGATATCCAGGCCCCACCTGGAGGTTGGCAACACTACTACTATAAGTTGGATTTAGCCAGCACTTTTCACTCAAGTCTTGCCCAGTTACAGTCCCCATCCCAAACAGCTTTTGCCAAAGCAGGTTTCATGATCATCAGCATAGCTTTCTCATTGAATAAAAGGGATCCCTTCCACTTTCAGCAGAACCTCTATTTGGATCCAACCCTGTGTTTATGCTATCTGTGACTAGTACAAACAAGGTAAATTCTGGAAAAGCCACCAAATTGTAGCCCATGTTTGCTTCTAATGGAAGGGAGCATCCAGAAGATGCCATTGACAATGCTTTCCCATACAGCTTTGGAAGAAGCCATTCGCAGTGGAGCTAGTGCTTTTGTTTACTGTCTTGCATTTTATCTCTTTTGTTTTGACGTTGCTCAAGACCTTTGGTCAGATGTCATAATAAAAGGAAAAGAAAGGAATAGAGCCAGTGAGAACCATCCAGACACCCTCTCATGTTTATACAGCACTGAGCACAGTGCTTGTGCTTAATAAAAGCAATAGGAGCACTAGGAACCAAGGACTACTGCTGGAGGACCCATTTCTTTGGGTTTCATTTGTTGAGATTAAATTGATAGCTCCTTCTGGGGCGTGTCTCAAGATCCACTGGTCATGAGCAGCAACGCGAGTGTAGACCCCAGGGCGTCTAGGGGCAGCACAAGCAGCCCCCCAGCTCACCACACCAGCCAGAAGCCAATACCCATCCCAAGGGCAAAGCAGTGGTCCTCCAGAGTCCCCCTGTGAAGGAAAAGGAATGAAATGGTCATACTTTGTTCTACTGTCCCCTTTCCTGTAGTACTATTACACAACAGCAGCTCTGTACAGACAGCAGATCAGATCTTACCATTGAAGCAATAATTATATTTCGTTGGCAAGCTTTAGGCAAAATTAGATTTGTAACAAATGCCATACCGCAAAGGGGAACCAAAGTGGCTCACATTTTTCTCCTGTCCACCATTTTATCTCCGCAACAACCATGTGAAGTAGGTCTGCCTGAGAGACTGTGTGTTGGACCAAAGTCAGCCAGCAGCCTTCCATGACGGGAAGGGGATTTAAAACTGGATCTCCTTGATCCTAGTCCAGCATTCTAACCACTATGCCACACAGGCCAGGGAAGGTAAACTCCATTTGTTTCCCACCCTCCTTGCCTAGTGCTGCTTGCCCTTCCTGGCTTCTTGTGAGGGCTTTGCTTCCATTGCAACTACCTCAAGGATGTGGCAGGATGATCTTATTGCCTTCATTTGGGGCACTGCAAGTCCCATCAATACCCTGAAGCTGGTGTCCAGTTCTTTACACTCCTAGCTTTATTTTCTGAGTCATTATACCTGCCACAGGTAGATATACATTCAGATGGATGGATTATTTCATGGGTTTTGTTTTCATGTGTTGTCATTTTTTTTTAAAATCCTCAAGAAACAATGCTATCAGGAACTCAGACTGGCATGCACAATTCTCCCTTCTTCCATCTTCTCTTCTGTTGTGTATGCTGGCCGCCACAAGGGGCCAGCAACGACCCAGGGCTTGACCCTGGGTGGACAATGGAAACCAGGCTCTTGGTCTCTCCAATAGGAGCTTGCTTGCACCTGAAGCTGCTATGTGCAGGGCCTGCTCTGCCTGTATAGGCATGCTAATGGACACACGCACACACCCCCACACCTTCCCATCCTGCCTTGGGACAAAGAAGACATTCTCCATTATGCTCAGCCACATGGACTCTTGGAAACAACAACTTTCCACCATTAAGGAGTTCCTGGATCACACGTAACCCTTTATCTGTTTTGAATCACAAAAGAGAACATCCTGTTTATCACCTCTGGGCCAAGCTAGGCCATCTACAACTCAAAGGTTACCATGGCAATACAACTTTGACACCTGACCAAATGGTTCCCATTGAAGTTTAGGGTAGAATTTGAATATCGCCCACTCCCCTTTAGGTAGATGTGTCACCTATCAACAGCCAATAAATGGAGAAGGGGACGGACCAGGTTGGCACTTGAGCCAGCCCCAATAGCAGGTTTTAAAAGGCGATGCACACCTTTGTCCTTAGTTAGCTAACCATCCTCCCACCCCACTTTCGTAACTAAGTTGTGCCGGCTAGCAAACCAAGCTAGCTAGACCTTCCTCCCCCCCCCCCCCCCACACCACAATTTTTCGTCAAAGTCTCAGCTCAGGAAGGAGGGCTCCAGAGCCAACTCATTTATGCAGTAGCCAAATCACTCGCTCACAACTCTAATGCCAGTAGCTCGCAAAGTAGAATTTTTGCTCACAAGACTCCACAGCTTAGAGGAAACATTGGCCTCAACTTGCCTCAGGGCTATGCAGTGAAGGAAGGCAGGGGGGGAGAGCTTTAACCTTTTAACACCCACTCAGTTTTGCTGTTCAAAACTGACTTTCACATTCGGCAATTAGTATTTTAAAAGAGAAGTGTCCCCCCCTTTCCTTTTAAATGTTAATAACAGAGTGGGGGAACTGGTTTCAAATAGGGGAAATGAATGGAAGCTGAAAGATTCAATTCTTTCTCTCTTTCCTGCAGAGCCTGGAAGTAAGCTAAAGTGGCATTAGCCTGCAATTTCTAATAATAAAATCAAACATCATCTTTTTCTCTTCTGGTTGAGCTAGAGCACTATGGCACCAGTAGGTATAAGAACCCGGGTCTCCCAAGTCCTTGTTCAATATGCTAAGTATAACCACTGGCTCCGAAGTTTTGACCTGAACTTCCCTTTGCACTGGGCTTCTATCACACTTTACAGCTACTGAATCATAGTGGGGATATGGTGTTAAATATTTGCTACATTGCAAATCATGGCTTGAATAGTGAACTCTGGGGTCACCAGGAGCTGGAAACACCACCCAAACAGGATCCCAATTTCCATTCATTCCCAAGTGGAAAAATAAAGGTTGGGTTCAAGCAGCTTTTCTGACCACCCAAAAGGCTATGCTGGAGATCAGAGGACCTGCATGCAGAATATGGGCTGCAGTTAGGGTTTAGAGGCAGTACCTTCCAACCAGCAAGAGGGCTGTGGGCAGGGATGGGAAGGGCTTCAATGCTGGCTGTGGTGTCATGTCAGTTTGGGGACCAAAAAAACCCAACTTAGGTAGTTCTAGGAAAAACCATAGAGCTCTAGGTAGAATTATAGAGTTATTCTATGTCACTTCCAGGGTTTTTTTTGCCAGCATCACAAGGGGAAGTCAGGATCTCCCAGCCTTGGTGTCAGGTCCCACGACAAGCAACGGAGTCACTTTATAGAAAAGGATTACTTTATTGAAGCCATGAGTCACTGAACAGATCTTCTGTTCAGAATAACATTAACTGCCAAAGCTAGAAAGAATAAAGCAAATTCAAAATGGTTACAGCCAATGACCATAATTCCCGCTCGAGCCAAAAAGCAGTTCTATGCGCCCAATTCCCTGGGAAAGCAACGGCCAGGGTGTTTTCACTACAAAGCATTTCTCACAGTTTCCCTTCATTAAAAGTAAAGCACAGAATACTCAGTTCTAACACCTGTGACCTTGAGGCAAATAACGTTGCAGTAAATACATGAGGCATCTTCTTGCAAGCAGGAAGCGTCTAGGCATGCGCATGAGTATAGAAGCAGACCGCTGAATACAACGGATGAAGCAGAGGGGGGGGACATACACCAAGTGTGTCATGTAACAGAGCATACACAAAGTGTGATCAGGAACATAAAATAACATTTGGCAGCTTGCTGACACTTGGGCTTGGAAGTACCTGGAGATTTGGGGATGGAGCCTGGAAAGGATGGGGTTTAAGGAAGGGAGGGACCTCGGCAGCATAAAATGCCACACAGTCCACCCTCCAAAGCAGCCATTGTCTCCCAGGGAACTGATCTCTGTCATTTGGAGAGCTGTTGTGCAAATGGGAGATCTCCAGGTTCCACCTGAAGGTTGGCAACCCTACCCTAGCCTGAGCAGGGCCTTGGTAGCCCTAGCTGCAGTATGTACAAAAATTGTGTGAGATGGACTTTAAAATCCTGGCTGAATCCAACCCCGCATCCTATACCTAGGTATATAGCTGCAATGGGAGCAACTCCTGCACCCACCTAGACTCTACATGGCCTGAAGCTCACAGATAGGGTTTCCAAGGGGATTGTGGGGTGAGATGCGAGTGTCCCTGTGCAAAAATTCCTCTTGAGGCCTTGGAATATGCATTCCTCCTTAAACACCCCCCCAAAATATATATATATGATCGCCAATTCATTTTGCTACGAAGAAAACATTGCTGAACTGGTGAACCATTAGTGTCAAGCAGGAAGTGGCCTCGTGGCATTGAAAACATCAGAAAGCACTGCACAAAACATTATTTGTAAGTGCGGATTTGTCGAGTTTTTTGTGGGGGAGTGTCTCTTTCGTTCTGCTTTGTCCATCATAGGCTGCGGTCACACGGAACATTAGCCACACAAGAGAGACAGATTTTCCGGGTGCGATCTCACCAGCACATCTGGGAAGCGTAGCGCTTCCGTGGCACAACCAAGGCTTCCTGCCAAAAACACGCAGCAAAAAACTAGTACCTCGGAGGTACTAGTTTCCGGAAACTGCGGGGCAAGGGCGGGCGTCTGATCGCGTTTCCGGTGGCATCCGGCGCCCGCCCATGTCCCCTTGCGAAAAAGGTGTTTTTTCCCCCAAGTCTCCATGGATGCGCACATGCACCCAACGGAGCATGTGCATTCGTCGTGTACACAAAAAAGAAAACCAGTTCGCCGCACCGCGCGCTTCTTCGTTGTGCGCAGGCATGTCCTGTGATCGGCACCTCTCCCTACCCACGGAACCTCCACAGAACCTCCACAGGAGGTCTGATCGCTTAACTGCATGTTAGTTTGCCCCGGGGCAAATAGCCACGCTTCCCCCCCGCAGTTTCCTGCCCGTGTGACTGGAGCCTTAGGTTCACATGATGCAGAGGACAGTACATAGTAGCAATCTGCATGCCTATTAAAAGGCTAAATAACAACCCCAGGAAGGTAATAATAAGGTTCAGAGTGAAGGGAGTCCCCTACACCCTTCTCCTCATGCATACCATTTCCCTGACAGAGCTGCTATTTCCTCTGTTAAGGCTAAACAGACAGGTACTCTATAGTTGTCCATATCTGGGGGAAATGTCATGGGAGTGTCACAAGCTGAGGACACTTTGCCACCTGAAGTCAGTCCTCCTCATGTGTAAGTTCCCTTGCTCGAAAGCCAGTCGCATCCGACTCCAGGAGATAAAGCAGCCTCCTTGCCCTCTCTCACCCCTCTCTCCCCAAGCCCCACATCCCCTTCCTTAATTCCCACAAGATTCCTTCGTCTTGCAAGAGTTCATCCATCATTTTGAGATTCCTGTGTCCCCAGTATGAACGTGAGGGAGGTAAGCTTTCCATCTGAAATGCTGGCAAGAAGAAATTGGGGGCGGAGCTGAGAGGAGCACATCAGCATTGTGCTGGCATGCTGACATCACTTCCAGTAAAACCTGGACGTGAAGTCACTGGATACTCTAGGGTTTTCAAAAACTCGACCGTTTTACCATAGAGTTTTTGAAAATTCTAGAACATTCAGTGACATCATGTCTCATTTTTACCAGAAGTGACATCAGCATATCAGTGTCACACCCAGGGCCATAGCCAGTGGGGGGCACATGGGGTGGAGCCCCCCTTTCATAGATGCAGCACCCCACCCCACCCCAATCATTTAAGCCATGCCAGGCTGAAGCAATTTCACTGATCCTGCTTCCTTCCTGTGGCTCTTCCTGCTTCTTGGCAGGTGGAAGGAGGAAGGAAGGAGGGTTAGCAAAATTGCTTTGGGCCTGTCCCCTGCATTGACCCTCCAGACAAGGGGCCGAAGACAGCCCGGCAGTGGTGGCAGGCATTCAGTGCCTTCATTGGGGGGAGGGGAGCAGGGCCTGCTGTGTCTGCCGCACATCCCCTTCTCGGGACAAGGCAAGGCAGTGGAGCCCTGCCACCCCTGTCTTTCCTGCCCACAGTGGCACCAGAGGGTGTGATGCTTTTGCAGGGGCCCCCCATGTGAGATTATCAAGCCATGCAGCTGGGTGCCAAGCAAAGAAAGCCAGACAAGGATGCTGGGGCAAAAGAAGGGTTGCTTGAGGGGTCAACTGAGGGGCTCCATCTGGAGGCGGGAGGGCCCGAAGGCAGCAGGGAGGCTGGGGAGGGAGCCATGGGGTGGGACGTGAAAAAGTCGCCTAGCCAGGGCCGCCGACGGGGAGCTGAGCTGTCTGCCCACCTGCTCACCATTTAATTTAATTTAATAGTGCCCCAGCCCCCCCCCCTAATATCCCTAAGCATATCCTGTCCCTTGAAACTCTATGGGCTTGTTTACACACTGCTCATCCATTGACAACTGATAATGCAGTGCCATGGACAAGCTGATTCCATTGATAAGCATTGTGTCTGAAGTGATAACGAAAGTTGGAATGTTTAATATGCAATGGCTCCTTTACACATATGAGTCACCAAGTGGTGCCCCCAACCATCACATCTCCGACATACATGAGTGTTCCAGTTCTACTTGTCTGTGAAGGTTTGGGGCATGGTACATATTGGCTCAAATTGTGCCATAGCGAGTGAAGCATTTGTGTGTTGCCTTTACCTGGCAAGAATCCTTCATCCCCTCCATGTATCCTGCGCACATCATATCATCCTTAATTTGCGGGCTTGTTCCTGGAAGGTAGCTGTAAAGGCTCTCACATGTGGCGGTATCTACAAGAGGAAGCAGCACTTCTTGTAGAAGTTCAGGAGGTGGAAGGGCGACTGAGAGAAATAGAGAGATGGGGGGGGTGTCAATAAATTATTATCTTATTCCAGTCTCCCAACTCCAAGTAGCCTAATTTGCAAGCTATGCCAACTCTGCAACATAAACTGATTTATTGTAGCATTGTCTGCTGGCTGGTCTTTTATACTACATTATTTGCTATCTTTTTTTCTAAGCCACTCTGACCTACTAGAAGGTCTCATGGGGACCTTCAGCAAAATGACATACATTGTTCTTAGGTTGTCCAAAGATTACTGTAAAGGTGAGAACAGTTCCACCTTTGCAGCCATCCTTAGCCAAGCTAAAAACAACCTGACCGATTCCCCACAAGCAGCTGTGCTGCCCTTGCTCTTCCATTTGCCCCAGTTGCACTGGTCAATTTCACATTATTCACTGTGCAGCCACATTTTGACCCACATCTCCCCCCAATTTCCCCCATGTCTTCTCGATCCTTGCTTTTTGAGATCAAGAAGACATGGGGGAAATCAGAGGGAGATGTGAATCAAAATGCAGCCGCACAGCAAATAGTGTGAAATTGTCCAATGCAATCAGGGCAAACGGGAGAGCGAGGGTGTCACAGCTGCTTGTGGGGAATCGGCCCCTGTTTCTTTCTTTCCAGAAATTATTAATTCTGTATGAGCATAACTGCAAGGACAGTCCCAGCATTCACCACCAAGGGCTGCAGTACAACATGAATTCGCACAGGTGGGAAAATCTTATTCTCTCCCCCTACTTGCCTTTCTTTCTCTATGTATCTAGGGAAGGGAAAATCCTATTCCCTCTATCGACCAGCCTTCCTTCTATTCCCACTTCTTCCCTTTCACTATGCTTCTTCTTCTCTCTATCAGCCATCCTCCTATTTTCCTTTCTCCTCATCCTCCATCCCAACTGCTGACTCCCCCATTCACCTTCTCTCATTATTGGACACCATTTTGGATTGCTCTGACAACCACAAATGATACTTGAAGTGGCGCTTTCCCCCCCCTCAACTTTTACAAGTTTGGAGTTTTTTTGGCACTGTAGATCTTGAAGCACCAGCACCTGGAAGTGACCTCACAACTACATTTGCACTAATTAAATCTTCTGATCTGCTTTGAAAATATCCACACATCAAGCGCATTACTGTAATCCATCCCAGATGTCCCTGGAAGGTACACAAGTATGACCAAATTGTGCTTCTCAAGGAAAAGCCACTGCAGTTGATGGGGCCTCTTTTCTGTTTTTCAGTGATTTTCTGTTTATTTGCTGTTGCTATTCGTGTTTTGCTCCATTTCATTTTATTGGCCAGCCCTTCCTTCTTTCACCTGACACGCTTTTGATTGATACCAACTGCACAATCTGAAACAGACGAAGAGGAAACACTTTCTGTGCGCACACACCTCGTGGTCTTTCTGTTTTGAAATCAAAGGCAGCACATACGCACTTCCCAGCAGCTTTAATCACTATAATGGTTAATTCCCGCTTTTCAGGGGTAGAGATGAAGAGCAATGCAGTATGGGAGACCACCATGTCGACTTGGCCCATTAGAAAAATTGCAGAGGTCACAGTGGGCAATTCATAATTCGTTACATTTCAGCCTTTCCTTCTTTCAAGGAGCTCAGAGAAGGGCTCATGTCTCCTCTTATTTAGCATCACGACAACCTTATGATGCAGTGTGGCAGCAATGGGCTTCCACGTGGCAGGTTTCTCTGCACTTTCCCTGCCGCAGTTCCCATAGCAGCCATTCCCTCACCCCCTCAGCTGCCATCGAAGAGACTTTTTTTCTGATTTTGTTTTGAGCACTAATTAGCCTATTGATATACCATTATATCTGTATACCAATATGTCAATTGCCTTTTGTGGCATTTAGGCCCACTGACCAGTGAGTACCATTCTGTTTGGCCCTCTGAGGCATCTAGGTACCAGTGGCTGTCCAAGTCTCCATCCAACGGTGTGACATTCTTCTGTCCCAACTGACCCTCAAAGGGGTTTTCTCGCCTTCTTTTGGTACCACTGCCACCAACTGGCCATTTTAGGAATTACCCATTAAGAGGGCCTATGCTCCCAGTTCCCCATCACGCATTGCCATTCTCAGGCCCCCACCTCATGCCTGCATCTCCTGCTACCCAGAAACTGGTTACGACAGAAATGGTTTAACACGTGTGAACTCGCAAGGGAAATAACAATTTACCAGCTGACCACCTCCCTGTGGTACTTGTTTTGAATAGCATGTTTGAACAGAGGGAGTCTATATGGAATGGAGCAACTACTAGCATTCAAAATATTAAAGAATTATTAAAAGTAAAATGTAGGAAAAAATAAGAGTCCTGTAGCACCTTAAAGACTGGGCAGCGGTGGCCGGGACCGTTGGGGGCAGGGTGTGTGGCCTTATGACACACTTCTGGTGATGTCAGGGGGTGTGGCCTTGTGACACACTTCCGATGATGTTAGGGGGGGTGGCATATGCTAATGAGTTATGCTAATGAGTTCCCCTAGCTCTTTTTCTAGGAAACGACCCCTGGTTGTAAGACTAATGTATACTTTGTTACACTGTTTATAGTTTCTGTTATTGTTTTATGCTGTATGTGATAATTAAATAATAAAAAGAAGGGGGAATCAAGAATCACTCTGTATCCATTGATGGAGAACTTCTGCACTTTTAACAGGTTCCTTTAAAAACAAACCAAATAAGGTGACAAATAGCTAAACAGATATTTATATGGTGTTTATCCCCTCCCCTCAAAGTAAAGAGGAACCGCCTGCAAAACCATCATGACCCTGAGCTTGCCCAGCACCTGAAGATTTTGGGATGAACGCTACCTGTACGTTTTGCTTCTTTAAAATCTTGAGACGCAATTCAAGACTCTTAGCTAAGCCCCAGAAAATCAGAGGAATCCTCCGATTTATTCTCTTACCATTTTGCTTGATGCTCCCCCAACCTGCAACCCAGCACCCCATCCTGGGAGGGAAGACAATGGAGCGTCCTGGAATACAGGCAGGCTGGATGCGATCAGTGAATCTGACGGGGCGTTCCAGTTCCAGAAGGGCAATGTCATTGCCAGTCCTATGATCTGAGTAGTTGGAGTGGATAATGATGGTCTTCACAGGGACTAACACTGATCCAGGGTGAGGGTTTAGGAGTCTGTAAGCACCCAGCAGGACGGCATACAGAGAGGGATCCGTGATACCACTAGATAGAAACATTGAGTGATAAGGAATGGAAGGATGCACTCAAAGCTCTTGGACAAATCTTAGCTAGGTGGCTTAGGCATACTAGGTTGAAAAAAGGAGCACCTAGAAAACTTTGGGGGGGCAGGGGGTGATTTCTTAGGGCGCCAAAGCCGGAGGGGCACTAACCAGCCTTGTCAAACCCACCCATCCCACCTGTGGCATTGGGGTCTGCTACAGCAAATGACAGCCCCATGAGGCACCTCATCCCCAGTGAATGGTTAGGGAGGAGCATGCTCCTTCCCTCCTTTGGAGGGTGGGGGGCAAGGTAGGGAGGTGTGGCCCTCCTCATCCTCTGCCATCCACTCTATCTGGCCATCTTTCTTTCTCTGCAAAGCCACCATGCAGAGGACTGATGTGGTTTGAGGGATGAGCAGCAGCCACTTTCTATGCCTCACACCTCACCATGTGCCTCACCGCCTCAGGTCCATGCCTCACCTTGCCGCTAATGCCTTTTGCCTTGACCTGGGGGAGGGGGAAGAAGGGTGGGCAGTGACTTCCTCAAAGCACACCTTCCTCGCCACTGGGGAGGAGACGACAAGGAGGGTAGACATCAGCTGTTTGCCATGCCTCACTGTGGCGTGGGAGAAGAGAGCAAACAGTGGGGTGAGAGTGAGCAGTGGGAGGGGAGGGGATTAGGCAAGGCAGTGATCACCACCTTGGGTGCTAGAAATCCTTCAGCTGGGAATGAAGGAGCCTTGTTGGATGATAACATTGTTTCTCCCTGTTTCTCCTTATAACAGCCTTGTAAGGAGGGTTAGGCTGAGAGACTGGCCAGATTGGGGTCCCCCTAAGCTTTGTGGCTGAGCCAGGACTTGACGCTAGCACTCTATGGTCTGATGATCAGGGGCGACGGTAGGTGAGAGCTCCTGTGAGGGGGATGATTATTCTGCATTAGCAGGACAGCATAAGGGAAAGATGAATTTGGGGGAAGTGAATTTGATGGAAAAGGAGACAGGTGGAGGTTGAGGGGAGGATGAGAACCAGAAGACTCCAGGAAGGAGTGTAGCACCTAATGGCTGGTGGATATGGCAGTTGACTGCTGGGTTCTCGGTGACAGAACAAGGGAAACTCATAGCCAAGCTCGAGGTCTTTTTTGAGGGGGAATAAAATCTCATAAATTGTTACTGAAAAGTAGGAGCCAGGACTCCTGGGTTCCGCAGGAAGGAGAGTGCCTGCCAACTCACCTGTCAAAGCAATGTGCAGCCGTGAGGACCCAGCTTGAGGAAATGAGGGTCCCCCCACAAACATGCGAGTCTACAAGTTGCAGGCTTGCCATCCATGGCCAGGTACCTGTCTCTGCCTCTGAACCTCCCACAATTCGAGTGGAGGGGGCCAGTTGGCCACAAGCTGGAGAAGAGAGCCAGATGGACAGGTCAACAAGCTGGAAATGGGATCCACACCTAATGAGTGGGGAAATCAGGACTGAATTTAGGATGGGGAGGTCTCTGCAGTGGAGCTGGGCAAGCAGGCAAGATGGACAATGGTGGTGGAATGAGCCATCAAGGTGCAGCTGACTTATGGCAACCTCATAGGTTTTTCAAGGCAGGAGGCTTCAGAGGTGCTTTGCCAATGCCTGCTTCTGTGTGGCAACCCTGAACTTCCTCGGCGGTCTCCCATTCGAGTATGAATCAGGTCTGACCCTGCTTCGCACTAGAGCTGCCTTGTGGTTGCACCACCATTTGCCCCTACACTATTGGTCAATTTCACACCCGAAGCTGCGGGGCTGCATTTTGACTTGTGGCTTCGCCCGATTTCCCCCACAGTTTTGTGATCCTGTTTTTTGAGGATCACGAAACTGCGGAGGAAATCGGGCGAAGCCGCGGGTCAAATGCAGCTCCGCCGCTTCGGGTGTGAAATTGACCAATAGTGTCGGGGCAAACGGCGGTGCAACCACGAGGCAGCTCTAGTGCGAAATCAGCCATAATCTTAGGAGGTGGGCTAGCCTGGGATATCCAGGTAAGGACAAGTACTAAACCAAATGGCATTGTAGAAGATGTTCTTTACCTGGTTCCAGCTGGGCCTCTGCAACACCTGCAAAAATAAGGACAGAAGGATCAGGACAAACAAGAATCTCTTCCTGATAAAGATAGCACTGGGTGACCAGATGCAAATGAGGCAACGGCTCTTGGAGTTTTAAAAGTTGTGTGAATAGAAATACTGGGAAATGCAGGTTCTTTTGACCCAACACTGCTTAGGGTAGGAGAGGGAGCTGCCCCAATGAAATGGGAGAATAGCCGATGTTCCTCGTTTCGCTTCTTTCCTTGTTTTGCTTCTTTTTAATATTCATTTTTATCAGCTGTTCTGCTTTGCATTGTGTATGTACAACATAAAGAATGTATACGGTATTCATACATACAGCAGTAGAAAAGAGCAAGAGTTCGGTAGAACCTTAAAGACTAACAAAATATGAGGCAGGGGATGAGCTTTTTTGAGTCACTGTTCACTTCTTCAGATATAGCTAGAATGGGAGTCCATCTATCCTATTTTTTGGAAAGAGGAGTGATTTCAGATACCAAATGACATTAGCAGGCATAATATATAGGCATAATATATGCATAATGCATAACAACTGTTTATTTATACACCAATAATGCTGGCATGAAATTGAGCAAACTTCAGAGGACGGCGGAAGACAGGAAGGCCTGGCGTGATCTGGTCCATGGGGTTGCGAAGAGTCGGACTTGACTGTGCAACTGAACAACAACAACAAAATGCTGGCAATCTTGTGAAAAAGTTGATATGAGAAATCAAAACGTGATGTACAAATTAAGGTTCAAGAGTTTGATTTTTGCAAAGGAGAAGCAAAATTGAAACAAGGACTTGGAAGGTGGAAATAGCCTGAGGGCGACAACCAGCTGGAGACTCACAATGGGGCACAACCTGGAAGTAATGTCATTGTGTAGGTTTGAGCATAGAGTTCGGGGCAAATGCTAGAGTGTCATCCAATGCAAGAATGTCATTTTGGGATCATTCTGGTAGTGATGTCATGACACCACACAACCCCAATCATCCCCCCATTTCCCTCAATATTTTCCCCTTGCCACTCAGCTGAGCAGCGGTGGGCAGAGCTGGCAGGGAGTGCGAGGTGTTCCTCCAAAGCAGAAGACCTGGCCTCCCTACACAAAACTGTATTTGTTGGTTATCACAGGGAATTTGAACTCATTGGTCAAAAATCTGAAAGATGGGAACAAGGTAGGATCTTAACTAAACAATTAGACAGAATGCTACCTCCATGCTGTTCATAGATTGCCACAAATGAAAAATCTAGAGCCTCGGGGTAAGTTGTACCAGATCAGTCTCACCTAATTACCCTCCTTTCATGGCTTTTATCCACATGGGTCCCATGATCTCTGGCATTGCTTTTTCAGTGGACACAAACAGGGTGTCCAACTCTGGTTTAGGAAATTCCTAGATGTTTGGTGGCAGAGCCTGGGGAGGGCAGGTTTTGGGGAGGAGAGGGACATCAGCAAGGTATAATTCCATCCTCCAAACTCTATCCTTCAAAGCAGCCATTTTTCCAGGGAACTGATGTCTGGATGTACAGATCCAGGAGATCTGCAGGCCCCACCTAGGGGCGGACAACTCTTGACACAAGGGAACCCTCCTTCTCCTCCTCCCCTCTTCCACCAGTGGAAATGCTAGTAGGATTCTACTCTTCATTTTTAACAACAACAAGTAAGCATTCAGGGAAGAGGCCTGGAATATTCCTGAGGAGGGCCAGGACCCCATGGGCTGTGGTCACTATTCACAAAAAGGAGAAAAGGGTAGGTGAAGGAACAGATGATGCAATTGGTCTTCTCAAGGTACTACCTTTGTGTTCAATAGCAGTGCAATAACAATCAACCCAAGTACAGAGTACAGAAACTGCTTTCTGTATATTATTGCCAGCATAAACGAGTGATTGTGGACATACCCTGAAACTCACCCACACGTTCTATGCCTCTCGTGGTGCTGGAGAAGAAAGAAGTAGATTTCCTGACTGGTCCTCAAAGCCTTTGCAGATTAAAGAACCTGAATTGTATTCTTCGCTGTATATTCTCTGTAGCCTTAATCCAGTGACCGTTGCCCAATATATTGCCCACATGACACGAATGGCAGGGGGCAGCCTTGTAACAGGGACAGCCCTAGTTTGAAGAATGTGCTGAGGCATGGCGATCCCATCCACAGGTTGTTCCAGGCAAGAAACTAACAGAGGTGGTTGCAATTGCTTGCCTCAGAGTATCAGCCTTGGACTTCCTTGGTGGTCTCCCATCCAAGTACTAACCATGGCCAATCCTGCTTAACTTCCAAGCCCTGACGAGTTCAGAATATGCTGGGCTATTACACCAAATGGGGGAGGGGGATCCTGGAGACCAAGTGAAACTAGCAAAACATTCCTGCACAACAGCATTCAAACCCCTCTCAAATTTCCCCCTAAACTTTCCAAATGCAGATTTTGCAATAATCTATAAAACACCTATTTCAAATTGGTAAACCTGTATGATCACACTGAAGCCCCCTTTCTGAACACAAACACTTTCAGATCTTACAGTGCAATTCCAGGTAACCATTCTTGGGTATAAGTCAGCCCCATTAAGAGTCATTGTGGTGTAGGGTCAGAGTATCAAACTACAATCTGCTAGACCCAGGTTCAAATCCCTGCTCTGCCTTGGAAGCTTCCTGGGTGCCTTTGGGCCAGAAGTAAACTTTCAGCCTAATCGACCTCAGAAGAATGCTGTGAGGATATGAGGGAGTAAAGCAGACTGATATAAGCTGCTTTGGGGTCCCCATTGGGGAGAAAGGCAGGGGATAAATGAAGTAACGAAAATAAATCAAAACAGATAGACCTGATAAGGGTCCTAAGGAGACTTGCTTAGGCTTTCTATCTTAATTTGGGATTTTAGCAAGCGAATATATGAAGTTACCTGACACCTTTAATGTATCCTCCTCCATGCTGTCTTCTTTGACAAGCAGTGGTGGATCAACAGTATCTCAGAGAAATTTCTTCCCTAATACCTGAGATTATCTGAGATACTTTCTGAAAGTGTAGCTGCCAGGAATTGAACCTGGGACCTCCTGCACTGAATGATCATTCCTTCCCATACCCTAAAATCCACAGGAAGAGCATACCCCCTACCAGTTCTGAAAATGTGGAAATGGAAATATTCTCTTACCAATCTGAATAATGAAAAGGGTGAGTACCTTTATCCTCAGACCACTCCACACCTTCATTTTGTGGACTTCTTTCACCAGCAACTGACATGCAGCTGAGGCAGCAGTAAGGCAGAATAATGCAGCTAGGTGTGAGGAAGTGAAGCCAAATGCCCACTTCATATATGTACTCTGCCCTCTCTGTCATGACTCACCTGACCATACCCCGGGAAGTTACCTGTTACTATTGACTGGGGAATTATTCTGTTAAACTCTTCCTGGACATGTAGCTAGGACACAAGTTTGACAGCTTTCTTTCACTCCAGGAAGAAGAGAAGTGGAGGTCTAAATATCTGACAGGGGGCTACTAGGGGTGTGCACTCAGTAGAAACTGAGCCCCAATAAATACCTGTTTGGTAGTTCCTCAGCCGATCACTGATGGGGCTAGTGATTCGGCTATCCAAAAATGGCTGCCCCCAAAAATCCTGAAAATATTCAGGTTTTTTCGGGGTCACTCGATAGCCACAATTACAGGGCATTTAAAGGGCTCTCAGCCCCTTTAAATGTCTTCAGAATGAACTCTCAGCAAGGTATTTAAAACTTAAATGCCTTTGGCATTCACTGGCCACAGGACAGAGTTGCATCACAGTTTGGAGAATTAATTTAAAGGGACTATGTCCCTTAAGTGCTTTTTCCCCTCCAATGAAACAATGGAGGATGGGGGCACCTTCTTCTGGGGCCCACAAAATTGGACTCCCTGATCCAATCTTTATAATGGTCCCCATAGTGAGCTGAAAAAATTTGGCAATCCCCAATATTTCCTGAATCTCAATACCATACCAATACTGGAATTCCGGGAATATCGGGAAATACCAATATTTTTCAGGTTCAATATACCTGAACCCAACTAATACTGATCCTTTTTTTTGTACATACCTCTAGTGCCTACATCCATTAGAAGAGGCATTTGGCTGTTACGTCAAAACAGGGAATGGGGGAAAGCCAGAAACTTAAAGTTTCTGGGAGGAACTTGGGTTCTGATGTTACATGCTCCACACTTCCCTGAAGAGGTGGAAATTCCAAGGTAGCCCTACTGGTTTCTCTACAAGGAGGTAAAGTAAGGCAGTGACCTCTAATGGTGGATTTGGGGGGATGGAAGCCTTCACTGCCAAATAAATATAAATAAATAAATAAATAAATCTACCTGTATTCTGATTAGGAAACACAAGGGAGCCAGAGACCCAGAAGATTTTAGTTAAAGCTTTATTGCTAGCAAAGCGGGGAAAACTTGCAAAGGGTTTTTCTGAAGAGCATGAAGTTACATCCATGCTTAATATACAGTTTCAACAAGCGGAGGCGTAATCCTTGTATGGTTATTTTCCTAAAGATACATGTCCTTAAAGATCTGTTCTGGGGACATTTCATTCATGCCAAGTTTCTGTGCTTTCATGTTATCAAAGACTGGTACAGGTTTCCTGATTTAGCATCCCTAGATGTTCCTCAGGTGCACATTAATTAGTATGCATAGTTAAGAATCAGCTAGGCATAACAGCTAATGGCCAAAGGCTTAATCAGTAACCTCTGGCTTTTGCAGCAAATGTGAATAAGTTAGCCAAAGGATCTATGTTTTGGGGTCTTTGCTATAAGGCTGTTGGGGGGCCTAGAGCTAGCTAGGCCAAGATCCATCAGGGCTTCCAGAAGACTCACAATATAGCCCACTAGCAGTGAAGCTCGTTGTAACTGCAAGAGAATGGGTGCTAGAAAGGCGTTGCAGAACAGACAGAGCAGGAGTGCCAGGCCAGTGTGAGGTGAGGCCCCCCAGCCAGAAACCCTTTGTGGTGACCCATTGACCCACCCCTGGGGAACCAATCACTGCTGGCCCGTGCAGCATGGCTTCCCGGACTGGCGGGCTTGTATTATCTGGCTCAGGGAGTGGAGGGAGGTGGTAGAAAAGCCTACCCCTCCCAGCACCCGGCCACCTCTCCCTCTTCGCTCAGCCACACAAATGGCAGGCCACTGTGACTTGGGGCCATGTCCTCCATCCGCCCCCACCATTGCAAAAGGAGGTGGCTGGGGGTGAGAAGAGCAGCCACGGCGGACCTGAGTGAGCCAGGCCCACTCCCGTCCCGATGCCGTGGGTAAGTGCCCTCATTGCCAGTGGCCTGGCCCAGCCCCAGAGAAGGGAGGTGTCGGGGAGCAGATGGACCAGGTGCTTCAGGCCAGCATGAGCTGAGGCCCCCCACCCATGAACCCTGCACAGCCCGCCGCCCGTCCACCCTCGGAGAACCCTTCACTGCTGGGCCATGCAGCATGCTCCCCCCTGGACGGGAGGCCCTTTATTAAGCAGCCTTTAACTGTTAAAGAGCAGCCGGCTTCTTCTTTTCACGCCTCCCTGTCGCCAACCATGCTGGGGCCCTGCCATTGGCAGGGGGAGGGGAGGGAGGACCTGCCTTTCCCACCCCTTGCCAGCCACTGGAATGTCCGTCTCGTCCCTCAGCTCCCACCACACTGAGGGCGAGACACTGGCTGCCAGTTCTGTGGGCGGGAAAGGCAGCCAACACAGCCAGGGGCTTGGCCACGTCAGCCACCAGGGGATTGGCACAGCTACTGAGTGGCAGTTCAGGCAGCCAACTGATTTTGCCACACATCGAATCTTGCCACTCTAAAACACATTTATATATAAGGACAGGATTGAACATCCATCACTTGCCACTCTTTTCTCTGTTTGCTTCTTCCAGAGGGGTAGCTGTAGGCCAAACTAGACATGACACTTTTGACACTTTCCCTAAAGCCACCCAGCAGCTATGGGGGAATGTCCTTTTAAAAATCTGCGGGAGACCAATTGAAATAAGAACACACCACAGTTCTGAGCCAGATGACATTCCCCACAGTTTCTGTGGGGCTGCAGGCAAAGCCAGTCGAGTCGGACTCGAAAAAAATGATCACATATAGTTTGGCTCTCCGTGTTGCAAGCAAAAATAAGACAAAGGGTCTTGAGACGCATTAAACAGATGGATTGTGGCAGATACCTTTGTGGGCTAGAGTCCATAGATCCTCTGTGAGCATATGTATGCATGTACTAGTGGTTAAGATGCTGAACTGCAGACTATGGAAGGTCAGTAGTTCAGCAGTTCAAGACCCGAGTTGCTGCATGACAGAGTGAGCTCCCGTCTCTAGTTCCAGCTCCTGCCAACCTAGCAGTTCGAAAGCAAGAAATTGCAAGTAGATAAATAGGGACCACTTCAGTGGGAAGGTAAGAGCATTCCGTGCGCCTTGGTGTTTAGTCATGCCGGCCACATGACCACGGAAACATCTTCGGACAGCGCTGGCTCTTCGGCTTTGAAACAGAGATGAGCACTGCAACCCTAGAGTCGGATTCAACTGGCTTTCGAGCAAGGGAACCTTTACCTTTACCTTTTACTACATGAGTAGGAAGCATGAAAAATGTGAACACCACCCATGGAATGTCCGTTCTGTGACACTTCAGTGTAAAACGCTCCTGAATATGCTTAGAACGCCACAGTGACCAGTCTCTGTTCCTTCCAAATAGCTAACTCCTGCCTCACACACCCAGACCTTCTCTCTGGCTTCTATCTTTAACTGGAAAGATCACATGATTCACATCCACCTGCAATGTTGATAGAGGAAAGATCTGCTATATTTGTTTAGTACATTTTTACCCCACCCTTCTTCCTCAGAGCTCAGAGCGGCATACATTGTTCTCTCCACCTCCCCATTGATGAAACATCAGGCGATGGATCAGTGAATCAGTTTGAAAACATGCCTTCAGCATGGCTAGAAAGCCATTTCCAAGCAGCAGAATTTTACCTAAAATCAGGCTTGGTTCTCCCTGCTGTGGTAAAGCGATAACCGGGCTCTGTCCAACAGCTGATTACAAGATGAGGCTAATAAGGTTTTTTTCCCTCCCATTTTTTATCTATATATTTACTTGCATTATTTATCCTTCGTCTTTCTCACATGAACTCAAGTAAGATTATACATCGTGAGTCCGTACACTCAAGAAAATGGGACAGTCAATAACCAATGCATTAGTACTTGGTCACGGTTCCACAACTGGTATGATAGGCAAGTTTGCAAGAGACAGACTAAGAGTTTACTAAATGAAATATATACCTGTTAGGATGATAAAGACAGAAAAGTTGCTTACACAGTTCATGAGAAATTGTTATTAAGGTAGAATAGGCATCAGTATAAATACTGGTAAAATTGAAAATAACCTTGATGTATTTGTTTGTACATTAGTATGTATGTATATGTTATAATTGTGTATGTTATGTGGAAAATGTAATAAAGCCCTGCCCCTTTGGGGGCAGTTTAAAAAAAACCAAACCAATGCATTAGGATCTCAGAAGTCTGGAACCACCAGAAAGAACTGATGCAATGTGGAAGTCTTCATGTGATGCATATGAAACATTAAATGGTACAGAAACTGCATGGATAGGATCCTACTTACAATAAGCTATACACAGTGGTATAGACCACAGTCCCTAATTATTTATCCAGGCATTTTGTACAGTGCAACCTTATGGCCTGTGCAGTGAATAGTTCAGGTTTGCATCATTTGCAGAAAGCCAGGATAATGTTGGTTTATATTACCCTTCAGGGGTTTTTTTATTGCTGTCTTGAAGCTATTCCTTGCAGTATCAATCTCTTTTATGGCTGTTATATTGTTCTGTGGTACTCACAATTGCTGTTGTTTTTTGTGCCCTGCTGGATCAGCAGTCCATCTAGTCCAGCAACCTGTTTCCCACAGAGGTCAACCAGATGCCTGAAAAGGCCCACAAGTGAAGGTCCTGAGGCCAAAACCTCCCCCTATCGGCCTTCAGCAAATGATATTCCGAGGTACACAGTCTGATGAGGAAAGTTCTATTTAACCATCTAGCTGTGTTTGCACAGGAACTTTGTATATATTGGTAGTCACCTTGGAACCTTGCTAGGCAGGAGCTGAGGAACAACAAGTGTTTAAATATTTCAGTTAAATGACTGTATGTTCCATTGCATGGCATGCGCTCTCATATTCTCCACCTCATCAGCCTACAGTTCATGTGTCAGCTCCTGTAAGTTGAAAACTGCACTTAAAGATACAGCATGTGGTAAATCACCAGTAAGGTGTAAAGATACCCAGTAAAATTAATTGTAGCAGCAACAGATGATGCTTTAAAAAACTGACAGTAATCCAAATTACCTCCAATGGCAATAGAATAAGACAAATCAGGAGACATACAACCCTGGTATAAAATAATAAATATATCATTTTTCTGAAAGAAGAAACAGCATGGTGGAGAAGTATGTAACAGGGGCCTGGAGCAAAGGAACTATTTGCCTGATGCTAAAACTCAGTCAGGCAAACCTACACCCAGATTAGAGTTGCCAACCGAACACGGCAACCAGTGAGTCTAGGGGTGTGGGTAATGTAATCTGCGTCAAGACGATGACATGACATCACTTCTTACACAAACTCTATGAATCCCTGACATGGTGACAAGGATTCTGGGTTTGTACAGGAAATGATGTTGTGGCACTGACACAACATCAACATTTCCCCCCATTATGTTCCCACTGTTCTATGGAGCAGCAGCAGAGACCCATGGCACCAAGCAGGAAGTCTCCTGCCAAAGCCGGATACCTGACACACACACCCCAAGACCATATGAACCTACCCGACCACTGCAGTCATCTTAAAGGGTTCTTCTTCAGGTGCCCCTACCATCTGAGACTAGATGTGTGGCAACACAAGAAAGGGCCTTCTTGGTGGTGGCACCAAAATTATGGAACCTCATCCCCTGGGAGATTTGTCTTTTCCCTTCTATCATTGCCTTCTGCCACCGAGTGAAGACTTACCTGTTTCATCTGGCATACTTACCCTGATCCTCCTTCCTGTGCTTTGTTTAGGGTTTTGTGCATTTTCTTTGTCTCTTGTTTAATTGTTGTTTTTGTTGTTTTTTTAAGTCCACTTTTATTATTTTTCATATTATACATGTTTCCCACAGAGGTCAACCAGATGCCTGAAAAGGCCCACAAGTGAAGGTCCTGAGGCCAAAACCTCCCCCTATTTGCCTTCAGCAAATGGTATTCTGAGGTACACAGTCTGATGAGGGAAGTTCTATTTAACCATCTAGCTGTGTTTTCACATGAATTTTGTATATATTGGTAGTCACCTTGGAACCTTGCTAGGCAGGAGCTGAGGAACAACAAGTGTTTAAATATTTCAGTTAAATGACTGTATGTTCCATTGCATGGCATGCGCTCTCATATTCTCCACCTCATCAGCCTACAGTTCATGTGTCAGCTCCTGTAAGTTGAAAACTGCACTTAAAGATACAGCATGTGGTAAATCACCAGTAAGGTGTAAAGATACCCAGTAAAATTAATTGTAGCAGCAACAGATGATGCTTTAAAAAACTGACAGTAATCCAAATTACCTCCAATGGCAATAGAATAAGACAAATCAGGAGACATACAACCCTGGTATAAAATAATAAATATATCATTTTTCTGAAAGAAGAAACAGCATGGTGGAGAAGTATGTAACAGCTAGCAGGGGCCCGGAGCAAAGGAACTATTTGCCTTATGCTAAAAGTCAGTCAGGCAAACCTACACCCAAATTAGAGTTGCCAACCAAACACGGCAACCAGTGAGTCTAGGGGTGTGGATAATGTAATCTGCGTCAAGACGATGACATGACATCACTTCTGGCACAAACTCTATGAATCCCTGACATGGTGACAATGATTCTAGGTTTGTACAGGAAATGATGTGGTGGCACTGACACAACATCAACATTTCCCCCCATTATGTTCCCACTGCTCTATGGAGCAGCAGCAGAGACCCATGGCGTCAAGCAGGAAGTCTCCTGCCAAAAGCAGGATACCTGACCCCCCCCCCCAAGACACTATGAACTTTGCGGGGAGGGTGGGGTATCAATCTTAATAAATAAATAAAATAAATACCCGACCACTGCAGTCATCTTAAAGGGTTCCTCTTCAGGTGCCCCTACCATCTGAGACTAGATGTGCGGCAACACATGAAAGGGCCTCCTTGGTGGTGGCACCAAAATTATGGAACCTCATCCCCTGGGAGATTTGTCTTTTCCCTTCTATCATTGCCTTCTGCCACCGAGTGAAGACTTACCTGTTTCCTCTGGCATTCTTACCCTGATCCTCCTTCCTCTTTATGTGCTTTGTTTAGGGTTTTGTGCATTTCCTTTGTCTCTTGTTTAATTGTTGTTTTAAAGTTTTTTATAATACATATTTTTTTAAATTGTGTTAATGGTTTTGATTGTCCAGAGCCTTGGGGACCCTGTTGAATGGGAAATGTTTTAAATAAGTAAAAAAAATAAGAGAGGAGAGTTCTATAATTGAGGTGCTGCAACCGAAAAGGCCCTGTCTCTCTCATGCTCACCCAATGCACTTCACCTCGTAGAGGCACACGCAACAAAGCAACTTGGCTGATGCCAGCAGTGCAATCCCAAGCAGAGTTACACTCTTCTAAGTCTGTTGAAGCCAATGGGCTTAGAAGGATGTCACTCTACATAGGATGGCACTGTAGATCTTGAAGCACCAGCACCTGGAAGTGACCTCACAACTACATTTGCACTAATTAAATCTTCTGATCTGCTTTGAAAATATCCACACATCAAGTGCATTACTGTAATCCATCCCAGATGTCCCTGGAAGGTACACAAGTATGACCAAATTGTGCCTCTCAAGGAAAAGCCACTGCAGTGATTTTCTGTTTATTTGCTGTTGCTATTAGCGTTTTGCTCCATTTCATTTCATTGGCCAGTCCTTCCTTCTTTCACCTGACACGCTTTTGATTGATGATAACTGCACAATCTGAAACAGACAAAGAGGAAACACTTTCTGTGCGCACACACCTCGCGGTCTTTCTGTTTTGAAATCAAAGGCAGCACATACGCACTTCCCAGCAGCTTTAATCACTATAATGGTTAATTCCCGCTTTTCAGGGGTAGAGATGAAGAGCAATGCAGTATGGGAGACCACCATGTCGACTTGGCCCTTCTAGAAAAATTCCAGAGGTCACAGTGGGCAATTCATAACTGTAACGATTCCTTGTTTATATGTGTGTGTGTCTTTAAAAGTTTGGATGCATAGCTGTATGAAAGTCTAGTGTGGTTGAAACAGGCAAGTGGTGTGATTGGTGAGTGACAGAGAGGGGGAGGGGTTTTGGAATGGATGCTGTGTGGATGATATTTATGTCTGTCAAGAGTGATAGTTACAGAGATGACTGTTGAGAAAGACAGTTAAGTCAGTTAAGCTATGTATGAGTTGAAGGAGACTCATCCCTGTGTGGGATAATTTGGTTCTGTGTAGTAAAAGAGTTAAGCAGTTTGTTCGTTTTAAGGTCTGAGAGTGAGAAGTCTTGTGTGTGTTATGAAAAGTTGAAACAAAAAGAAACAGTAACCGTGTGTGGCCTAAGGAAAATATTGTTACAAAGTGACATGCCCAGATCCCTGTCAGTAAGAGGGAAAAGTGTGTGAAATATCAAATAAATCTACTTTTATTTAAGATACCAGTTCTGAAAGAAATTCTTCCCAGAAAACACATAGACCCTCGTGAACGCCTAAAACCCTCGACATACCTACCCAGAAATAGAGAAAGCATAAAGGTTTGGAAATCCTTTTAAAATTTCCTGGTGGCAGCCAGATATATAGAGTAAAAACAAAACAGAAAGAACATTTTAAAGTAAACCCAGACCTCCCCAGTTAAGGGGTCGTCACAATAACATTTCAGCCTTTCCTTCTTTCGAGGAGCTCAGAGAAGGGCACATGTCTCCTCTTATTTTAGCATCACAACAACCTTATGATGCAGTGTGGCAGCAATGGGCTTCCACGTGGCAGGTTTCTCTGCCCTTTCCCTGCCGCAGTTCCCATAGCAGCCATTCCCTCACCCCCTCAGCTGCCATCGAAGAGACTTTTTTTCTGATTTTGTTTTGAGCACTAATTAGCCTATTGATATACCATTATATCTGTATACCAATATGTCAATTGCCTTTTGTGGCACTTAGGCCCACTGACCAGTGAGTACCATTCTGTTTGGCCCTCTGAGGCATCTAGGTACCAGTGGCTGTCCAAGTCTCCATCCAACGGTGTGACATTCTTCTGTCCCAACTGACCCTCAAAGGGGTTTTCTCGCCTTCTTTTGGTACCACTGCCACCAACTGGCCATTTTAGGAATTACCCATTAAGAGGGCCTATGCTCCCAGTTCCCCATCACGCATTGCCATTCTCAGGCCCCCACCTCATGCCTGCATCTCCTGCTACCCAGAAACTGGTTACGACAGAAATGGTTTAACACGTGTGAACTCGCAAGGGAAATAACAATTTACCAGCTGACCACCTCCCTGTGGTACTTGTTTTGAATAGCGTGTTTGAACAGAGGGAGTCTATATGGAATGGAGCAACTACTAGCATTCAAAATATTAAAGAATTATTAAAAGTAAAACGTAGGGAAAAGAGTCCAGTAGCACCTTAAAGACTGACAAAATTTGTGGTAGACTATGAGCTTTCCCATCTTGAGCTAAAAGTAAAATGTCCACGCACATACTCTTAGCTCAGCAATAGACCTTGTTAGGAATACAAAAGGTATAAACAATTACTCTGCCCCCACACTGTACATGCCCTAGCTGATCTTATTCTAAAACAGGCTCTTTAACTTAGACGTTACAGAGTTCTAAAAGCTTCCCATTGCCTTGTTGTCTTTTGTTCAGGCAGCTTTTGTTTGCTTGACGAGGCAATGGCAGTCTTCAAGTGTAAGAGCTCCTTCCCCTACATGGAATAAGCCAAAACAGACCCCTCTCCTTCTGTGCCAAGGGATTTTATTATCTGGTTGCCCACTCCCTTGTGGATCAGATAATCCTTTCCTGAAAGCTCCAGGAAAATATGATCTAGCCCCCTGCACCCCCAAGTCTCTGCATCCCTTATAGGTGTCAGGTTCCAATTTAAGGTGTGAGCTGACCATTTCATTGTCTCCAGGCAGGAAGGCCATTAGCATTTCCAAAGCTTTGATGGTCAATACTTGGCAATGCTTGTGAGCAGTTGACTTTCCCTTCCTGCCAATGTCAGATAAGAGAGAGGAAAACGTCTAAAACTCAATCTAGAGGATTATATTTCAAATAAAATGCATTTCCCCACACCTGCTTTAGAAATGGAAAAAAAGCTCAAGAAAGCTCCTCCAGCCACAGGGGAGAGAAGGAAATGTCCACCCAGGGAACTAGGGCAGGGGAAATATGAAGTTTCCTACCCACGTGGCACCCATTTGTTAGCCAAATTGCTCTATTATTTAATAAAGATGGGGAATTATAATTATTAATATGCAATTGGCTTATCTATAGGATCTGACCTGTGTATACCAGAGTTAGAATTCCCAAGAACCCAGGAACAGACACAGAAACTGGATGGCTAAAATAATGATTTCTTTACTAAACATTCTCAAGTATACAAATAATATTCAAACACTCACACACGCAATATAGAACTATAAGGAAGCAGAGGTGATTGATAGCTTATAGAGGGGTGATACAACCTGTTCAGATGTGCAGAGGTCCATGAAGAAAAGACTGTGGCCTAAACTCAGAGAGTTCAGGGGTGGACTGCCATTTTGGATTATGGCAGAAAACACACAGTCTGAGGCCATGTGTACTCTGGGATATACCCATTGGAAAACAATGCAGACCAATGGGCGGTCCTGGGGGCTGGTCTCAGGTGAGAACAATAAATTTCCTGGACCAATGATGAGTCCCAGTGGTCTGTGGCATCAGGATGGGCAAGGCCTAGGTGTGACCAATGAGCTTCCAGAGAGGCAGGGTCAGGATTTAACAATAGAAGCCAGGTGTTGG